TCCCATGTCCCCCGGAACTGTCAGTCCCATTGTTTTCTCCTCCAGATTGTTCATCCAGCCTGTCTTATTTAGACAGACCTGCAGAGATAATAATATGCACAAAAACAAGACAGAGCAAAACCAAGCAACAAAAGAAAACATCAACAAGTCAATGACAAAAAAACAAAGCAAAACACAACAAGAAAGAAAAGCTTGTAGTTAGTTCAAGGACTGTATGTTGGCCTTTAGGAGTGTTTTCCAGTCGGGTCTGATGGGGCACCAAGTCCTAGCCCCAAAGTCTATTTTTGGTATCCCTTAGGGACTTTATCAGCATGATTTATTTTAATGACATAGTTTTGTGCTGTGATAAGTGCAAGAGCCTATCCAAAACCCAAGTCCATTGCCATTGAGTTGATGGCACAGCGATGCTCCCGGGCAGTGTCTAACTGCCCCACAGGGCCTCCGAGGCTGGCATCTTTCCGGGAGCAGACAGCCGCATCATCCTCCCACAGAATGGCTAGTGGGTGTGCATGGCTGACCTTTCAGTTTGCAGCAATGTGCTGAGCCTCTGCACCACTGGGGCGGCTTAGATTTGATCGAGTACCCTTATTTCTGAGTAAAGAATGTGATGGTGAGAGCATTGTAAGTATGGGTGGGGGAAGGTGCATGAAGGAAATTGGAAGAGAATTAGACGTTGTGCTGAAGAAAGGAGCCCTAGTGGTCTAGTGGATTACACTTTGGGCTGCTAACCTCAAGTTCAGCACTTCAAACCCACCAGCTGCTCTGTGGAAGAAAGAGGAGGCTTTCTACTCCCAACAAGCAAGAAAGAGAGAAAGACTGAAGGAATGGTGTACTTCTAACAAAAATAGTGTTTTTTTTAAAAAATAGAGACAATAAATCAGATTCCCATGTGACTTCCTTATGGAAAAATAACCAGCCCAAACTAGGAATATGCAAGTACTTTATAGGACTTTTAGTACATATAAAATGATAAACATATATTCATTTTTAAGTGCATCAGTAGCAAGGTAGAGGCTTAGTTTGGACTTAAATGCCTATGATATTCCTGTGTACACTTGCATTCATAAGACCATGCAGTGAGGGTGGCGAGGCGGACCTCGTCGTGGAAGGGTCTGCACGTGGCCTGTGTGAAGTTCCGTGGCCGAGTGGAAACCCTGAACCAGTTCTTCTTTTCCCTGCAGAACATTCCTCCAGCTGAGCACTACATCGGGCCAAACAGCTTTAAAAGCCTGGCTCAGGAAGCCCAGAAACTGGCAGACAGGTGAGCAGCAGCGTCAGAGGTACCTCTGCTGCAGTCGGCTCGGCAAGGCCGGACCTGAACAAGACTGGAGGGGACTGGGCACGAAGCACCCTGTTCATGCGCTCTAGGCTGCTCTGCGGCCATCCCTGGGCCTTGCAGCTCATGCTTAAACCATTTGGCTCTTAGTGAACATAGGTCCTGCTGGGCAGGGTCATGTATCAGGAGCTGGGGGTGGGGGGTTGTGTCCCATTTTCCCCTATGACTCACAATATGGCTTTAGTCTGGGGCAGATGTGATTCCTTGGGCCACGTGAAATGAATCCGCCCTTGGAAAAGAAGGCTGTGCAGCTTTCAGGGACTCCCAGGTCCCACCCCGAGCCTGGGAACAAGTAGCGACGAGTCTTCTGCTGGCCTGTGGGGGCCAAGTCTGCAGAGGGGTGACTTCCTCCTGAAAACCGGCTCTGCAGGGCCTCAGCGACAACCCATAAACACAGACAGCTCCCAACATTCATCCTGGCCTCTGACTATAAATCCTAAGGGAGAGCTTTGCTCTAAGCAGAGTGCTCAGCAGGGTGGCAGGCTCAGTTAATCCCTAGTGGAATTCAGTCGGCTGAAGGACACTGGTGTATTTTTGTAGCATGAGCTGTGTCTGTGGAGCTTGTTTTTATAGCTTTTCTAGAACCCGGACAAACGCCATCTGGGGGTGCACACCCTTTGTTCCCTTGTGGTGGCCCTCACTTAGACCGGAGGTGGAAGTGAACGGGAGGTTGGTTACTGGATGAACTCAGACCTAAGGCTTTGTGCCTGCAGACAGCACCTGCCCGACACTCTGTTTTATTTTTTTTTATTTTTTTATTTTTTTAACATTTTATTAGGGGCTCATACAACTGTTATCCCAATCCATACACACATCAATTGTGTAAAGCGCATTTGTACATCGTTTCTCAAAACATTTTCTCTCCATTTAAACCCCCGACATTAGGTCCTCATTTTTTCCCCTCCCTCCGACCGACACTCTGTTTTACATCGGAGATGGCTCCTGTCCATTTCCTCTCCCCTCCACCAGGCTCCGGCTGATTATGCCCTAAACCAGAGATGAGCAACGTTTTTCTCCCCTGGGTCATTTGGACATTCAATACAACAACATTCTTGGGCCATACAAAATCATTAACTTTAGCCTACTATATTTGATCAACTATTTAAAGAACTTGCCCCTAATGTGATGGCCGGGACAGCTTCTCTCTCGTGAGGCCTGTGATGTTAGCGGGTATTTAGAGGGCCGGTGGGTCTGAGCCACTCCTGCAAGGATGGCCGGTCACATAAGGCTAACTCTGTAGCAGACCTGCTTCTGAAGAATTCCTGAATTCCATGTAGCCCTTGCTGTGAGTCCTGACGTGGCAGCGTGGGACGGTGGCTCATTGTTTTCAGGTCTACGTCTGTCTCTGTCCTTTCTTCCAAGGTGCTTCTGGGGGACTCAAACCACCAGCCCCTTGGTTAGCGCCATCTGCTCTGGGGCAATTCTTTTCCTAATCACACTAGTTTCATTACTCACTTTGTTTAAATCAGCATGCTGAAGGAAACTCTTTATGGTTAAAATTCTCATTCTCATAACATCTTTTTTTCAGTCATGTTGAGTCGGCCAGTAGCATGGAACAGCTGGCCAGGGAGACAGAGGACTTTTCCAAGCAAGCGCTACTGCTGGTGCGCAAGGCTCTGAGGGAAGGCGGAGGGAGCGGCGGTGGCCCGGACAGCTCCGCGATGCAAGGGCTTGTGGGAAAGTACGTTTCAGCCAGTTCTCATGTGGACCAGCAAAATCGGGATCTCCCAGGATATGCCGTAAACCACACTGGAGGGGCACTGTGGTGCTTCTAAAAATACCATGTAGACGGCCAAGAGAATGAGTGTTCACTTGAAAGAATGCAGATATCTTTAGAGAAAGAAGAGTTTAAGTAAAGCGTGTCTCCTGATGGGAAGATTTCAATGCTGGAAGACATAGCACCTTCTGTGGTCTTTAAACCCAGCTGATGGCGTGGGGAATATAAAAATAATAGATTATCAAGAATTGGGAAATTGGCGTTTAATTCTCTTGCCCCATCCTGTGTAAAATCTAAGACTTGTGTTTAGATTGTCGAGAAAGACTCTCTCTGACACATCACCTTGTTTGGGTCTCGGGCAAAATATTTTTAAACAAACAGGCCATTCTTGACTGTCTGAGAGGAGCGAGTTCTCAAAACCATAACCACCTTCTTCTTGTTCCCTTGCAGATTGGAGAAAACAAAGTCCCTGGCGCAGCAGTTGGTGAGGGAGGCCACCCATGTCGACACGGAAGCGGATAGATCCTATCAGCAAAGTGTCCGCCTGCTCGGCACAGTGTCTCAGCTTCAAGGGGCCAGTGAGCAGTCCTTTCAGGTGAGGGCCTCCAGCCTGTGTGCTTGAGGAATGAAAAACTAGCCACCCATGGGCGTCTCCTAACATTCAGCCATTTAGCCTTTTCCTCCACTTTTGTTGACCTTTCTTGCTTTAGATGCTTGTTGGGCACATGGCGTGGGTTCTGACTCATAGACACCCGGTGTCCCACGGATCGAAACACTGCCCGGTTCTACACCATCCTCACCACTGCTGTTATGTTTGGGCTCATCAGTGTAGCCCCTGTGTCAATCCATCTCCATGAGGGTCTTCCTCTTTTTCGCTGCCCCTCACTTTACTGTCCCATGACCTTTTCTGGGGTCTGGCCTCTCCTGAAAACATGCCCGCGATACATGAGAAGAACTCTCACCATCCTCTCTTCTAAGACGCATTCTGGCTGTATTTCTTCCAAGAGAGACTTGTTGGTTCTTCTGTTAGTCCACGACACGTTCAGCATCCTTCCCCAAGTCCACGATTCTAACCCATCAATTCTTCTCTGGGCTTCCTGATTCATTGTCAACTTTCACATGCGCACAAGGTGACTGGATATACCATGGATTGGGTCACGCGTTCCTTAATCTTCAAAGTGGCACCGAGAACCTTATGCAATTGTAGGGAGCGTATTTATATTTCTCATTACCCATTTCCTTACTCTTAAGACCCACTCCATGACTCGGAAAAGGCCTTGACCCATTCTGCACCTATTGTTACATTTTTTATATCTCGTCCTTAGTCTGGGACTCTCGGTAGCTGTCGGAAGTTGTTAAAAAGTCTGCTGCTTCACTCACGTCCTTTCTGTAGAACATCTGTTTCCGTACTGTCATCTCAGATGATTGTTTTGGATTGAATTGAGTTCCCCACAACTGTGTTGTAAATCCCTACACCTGTGGTCAAATTCTCATTTGGGAATGGTTTCTTTGTCATATTAGAAGGCCATATACATGAAGGTATTTCTAAGCTAATCCCCTTTGAGATCAGATTAGGCACGGAGAAACAAGCAGAGACGAGGGAAGAGAGATGCCAAGCCCCAAGAAGATCAGCAGGAATAGAAGCCCACGAGACAAGGACCTTTCTGCAGTGTGCACAGAGAAGGAGAGCTTTCTATAGCAGACACTGTGCATTCAGACACCAAGCTTCCGATACTGAGATCTGTTTGTTCAAACCATCCATTTGTGATGTTCCCGTTGTAGCAGCATGAGAGAATGAAGACAGAATTTGGTCCCAAAAGCGTGGGATGCTGCTCTAACAAATACCTGAAATGTGGAAATGGTTTTAGAACTGAGTGATGTGTAGAAGCTGGAGGAGTTTTAAGGCACCGAATGGTAAAAGCCAAGATTTCTTTGAAGAAAATGTTGGTAGAATGATGATGACGAAGGCAATTCTAGGGGCGTTTGAAGGAAATGAGGAGAGTTGTGGAGGGAGCCCCTCACATCTAAAGAATACAGATGGTGCCAGCAACAGAATGTGGCTACACATGTGGAAGGGAACTGTGTTTCTGGTGAAGCATTAAGCGGAAGTGATGTCAACTATGAAACAACACAGAGTCCACAAGACATACCATGGATACATCTGGAGGATGTTATACTGAGTGAAATAAGCAACATTTTATTGTATGACCCCACCATTATTACAAAAAGAAGAACAAGAACAAGCAGCCGGGTGGTGTCACGGTTACTAGTGGTGCTGCTAACTGTAAGGTCAGAAGTTCGAAACTACCAACTTCTTCACAGGAGAAAGATGGGGCTTTTAATTCCTGTACAGAGTTACAATCCTAGTGCTACCCTACTCTGTAGGATTGCTATGAATCAGAATCAACTCGATGGCAGTGAGTTTGTTTTTGTGTTTTTACTATTATAAAAAGTGAGGAACCAATTTGCACACAGAAAGCAAACTTCTTTGATGGTTACCAGGAATGGGAGGAAGAATATGCAGAATCACGTCTAGATAGCAGACTCTTTGACATCAGCACAACCTGCCCAAAGTAAATAAATATAATGATTAAAATACAAGAAAAGGGGACGATTTTGATCAATTCTGTAACATACAATTTTGCAACAGCAACAATCAAAAATATGGTTGCAGTTATATAGGTAGACATAGATGCATATCTACAGATAGAAAGGTATATTCAAGTTCATGATCAGGTGTATCTGTAGCCATTATATTAAACATTTATGTGTGCTGTATCCACATATATGGATACAGCTATGGAGACTTCTCGGATATATCCAAACAGCTCATGTGATTGGTTTACTGCGTCAGAAGACTTGGACCACAGTTGTACGGGAAAACTTATTTAACACAGTTCACAATGATGATGTTCTACTTCCTAGTTGAGTGAATTATGTCTAAGGTCTCAAAAGCTTCTGAGTAGCCATCTGAGATACAACCATTTTGCTACTCATATGGAGCAAAAGAAAATTAAAGAAATCAAAGGCCCAAAGAAGAATTCTTTCATGGGACCAACATTCCACACCAGCAAGCTACAGCCTTTTCTAAGCTGGGACCAGAATGAGATGTTGCCTGATTACCACTACTGACCATTCTGACCAGGAACACAGCAGGAAGTTCTGGTGAGAATGGGAGAAAAATGTAGAACAAAACTCAAATCACTGAAAAGGGCAAGACTGCAGGATAGACTAAAGGAGCCGGAGGCTATCAAGTTGGGTTTTGAATCAGGAAGACTGAAGAAGAATCAATACATTTGAATTATGGTGCTGGTGAAGAATATTGCAAGTACCAAGGGTTGCCAATAAAACTCAAATCTGTTTTGGAAGAAGTACAGCCAGACTCTGCTCCTTAGAAGCAAGGGTGGTGAGAGTTCGTCTTGTGTACTTTGGACATGTCCCCAGGGAGTTCAGTCCCTGGAAAAAGATGTCATGCTTGGTAGAGGTTAGCCAAAAAGTGGAAGACCCTCGATAAGATGGCTTGACACAGAAGCTGTCATAGTGTACTCACACAGCACAGTGGTGAGGATGGCGCAGGGCCGGGCAGTGTTTTCTCCTGTTGGACGTGGGGTACAACTGGCTCCGTGTCACCAAGCAGCAACAGCAACGTCACCCTAAAGAAACACTGTGGTCTTGAAATTGAAGGTGTTTCTGCAGGTTACTTCTCAACTAAATAATAGATTGACTTAGAAAATAAACAGTATCACCTGTGACTAGTAAGCTCCCTTAAACAAATAACTATGTGTGACTAAACAGTCAACTCTGTTGACCCCAAAGAAAGCCTGAGAAGACAGGAGGAAGCTAGATCCAGAGAGAGAGAACAAACAGAAAGGAAATCATGAGCGTGCTAGCACATGATACAAATTGTAACCATTGGCCTGGGAAATTTGCATCAAATTTGTATCTGATTTGCTGTGTAAACTTTCAGGTAAAATGCAATGAAATCGTATTTTTTTAAAAAGGAAATGATGAGTATGTGACTGGATAATGGAAGAAGGGTAGTAGTTTAGACCCAGCAGCAATGAATGTGCTTGGATTACGTTAAAATATTTGGTGGAAGGTAGAACATGTAAGTAAGGAATGTGGACATTGGGCTGCAGAAATTTCTAAGCAAGATTTTAAAAGGTACCTTGCGGTTTCTCCTGGCTACTTATGGAAAGAGATGGATTTCAACATGAACTGTGCAAAATGAAAACAGAATGCAAAAAACTGGAAAATTCTGCTGGAGAAGTTAACAGCCCATGTCCTATAATGCTCACCATAGATGTGGCTACACAGTCTTTCGGTAACGAGGGAAGCCTGTGACTGATCTGACGCGCTACCATAGCAGAACCCATGAGTTTCGATTGAAAGGACAGAGAAAGAAGTGTGTGTCTGCTGGAATTCTACAGGTGGGAAACAGGCCAAAGGGCCATCTGTTGTTCTTCAAGAAAAGGGATGGACAGTCCCCGGTGCGATTCCGAGATCAGCAGGGCTGTTGGAAGGAGCACAGGAAGCAGATTTCAAAGGGTGGAACTCTAACCTGCTGGGTCTCAAAGGATGGGGCACAGCCTCCTAAGTTTCCAAACAAAAGATCTTCAATTTGTTCTGGAGGGTGAGGCTGCTGTGTAAGTGTACCAGGGGGATAGTACCACTGTCCAAACTGGACCAATTAGCGGCATCATGAAAAATAGGGAAAAAAATCTTGAAGTTGCTAAGGATTTTGTTTTACTTGGATTCACAATCAATGCCCATGGACAGAGTAATTAAGAATCCAATTACATATTGCACTGGGCAATCCTGATCAAAAACCGTTTAGAAGCAAAGATGATATTCACTTTGAGGACACAGGGGTGCTTGACGCAAGCCATGGTCCTTTCCGTTGCCTCCTGGGTGTACAAAAGGTGGAGGAGGAATAGGGAAGAGGGGAGAAGAAGAATGCCTTTGCATGGTGGCATCAGAGAGTCCTGAGTAGATCATGGACGGTCAGAAGAACAGACATCAGTATTGGATAAAGGACATCCAATGCTCCTCAGAAGGAAGAATGACATATTTTGGACATGTTCTCAGCAGGAATCAGCTGGAAAAAACGAGTGCTGGCTGGAGGGGACCCCATGCACATCAGTGTAGAACCGTGCTCCATAGGCATTGTCAATGGCTGCTTTTTCACCAAATTGCCAGGCCTTTCTCCCAAGGTGCCTCTAAGTAGACTCGAACCTCCACCCTCTCCATTAGCAGCCTACTGTGTTATCTATTAGCACCACCCAGGAACTCCTCTAAATTTACGAGATTGAAAATATCTTGTTTTCTCCCTATAGTGAAAAGCACACACAATAATGTCCACGAGCGTAGGTTCCCCTGAACATATAAATGAACACTTAATAGTTTTTAAACCCCGGCCCTCTCAAAACGAGAACAAAGTCTGGGTGACTACCCGGTCATGGGTAATGCTGCCTCATTTCTGTTAGGCTCTGGGCTTGGATGACTAGTGATGGTGTTTGTAGCTTGTTTGCAAACAGTAGTGTCAGGTCCTAGGGCCGGGTGACAACTGATGAACAGAGAGTCACGCCGTTTGTTTCTTTGGGCTCGCAGGCAGAAGCGAAGAAGATCAGACAAAAAGCTGATACCCTCACCAGCCTGGTGACCAGGCACATGGATGAGTTCAAGCGTGTGCAGAGAAACCTGGGAAACTGGGAAGAAGAGGCCCGGCGGCTCCTACAGAACGGAAAGAACGGGAGACAGGTATTCTTTCGTTCAGTGGCTCACTCAGAAAGTATGCAATGAATGCCTACTATGTGAATCAGTATGGTTAGGGGACCCAGGGAACGCCCTCTACTTACAGAGGGAGTAACTGAGACACAGAGACCTTGGTGTGTAATCAGCTCAGCTCCACCCCATGAGTCAGCCCTCAAACCAAGGAATAGGACCCAGGCCTCCTAAGGACCTATTTTGGGCAGTGTTCTATCTGTTAGCTCGGCTCCAGGAAGTATCTGGTGCTGAAAATTATGTCTTGCAAACTATTTCATTGTCCCTGACAAGGGAATTGATTTGGACCTGGTTCTCCATAAGGGATTACTATTGAATGATAAGAGTTTGCTCAACACCAGATTGCTACAGCACCCCTCAGCTCTGTAGACAACCACGCAGCTCTGTTGTTGTGAAATGCATCGGCGGGATTTTTCCAGTAGGACTGCACATTTGTTGTAGGTTACATTTTCTCTAATCTTGTCTGTCTGCCTCGTTACAGAAATCAGAACAGCTGCTCTCCCGTGCTAACCTTGCTAAAAACAGAGCCCAAGAAGCACTAACTATGGGCAATGCCACCTTTTACGAAGTTGAGAACATCTTAAAGAACCTCAGAGGTGAATATTTCATGGGTTAGGTCACATGAATATTTTAGAGGTACAACCAAGACTTTATTTAGAATCCTCATATATCTCTTGGTTAATGCAATGATAAACTGGTTTATTATGTATCTCTTTACATGGCAAGTACATTGGGGTCTTACTAGATGTATATTCAGATATCCCCAAAGAGAGAATGTTAATATTTGCTGTAGTGGACAGAGTTGAACTAGATGGCGGGGGCTCAGGGCTCTGGACTGAGACTGAGCTAGCTGTGTGACCACAGATAGTCACAAAGCCTTTATGGAGCTTAATTTCTAACTTTTTTAAAGGGAAGAAGTTGAACTCGGTAATCTCTGAGGTTTCTTACAGACTCATCAGACGTTAGTTGACTAAAAAAAACAAAAGAGAAACATTCCTACACTCT